TTGTTGAGTGGAGGGTTTGGTCAGTGTGCTTATGTATGTATATTGAGGCATCTATAGGGGGTGGGATATGCAATGAGACAGTCCTTTCCTAGAGAAGGGATGTTCTTTGTGTGCACATCTGGGGCAACAAGACCTTGCAGGGGGCAGGGAGAGCATGATAACTGCTGAGAGAGTGTTCACCCTGAGGTGGTATGTGGGCCTGTATGTATATCTCTCAAGGCAAGGCTACTAAGAAATGATGTGGCACTCAAACATGTTGGGAGGGGGAGGGGTGGTTGTGCATAGATGTGTAGGATATCTAGGTCATTCAGATATGCAGAGGTATCTTTCAGTTTGGGGAGGAGGTGTGGTGGGAATTCAGGGGCATCCAGACTCTCCAGGATATATATATATGCGTGTGTGAAAATAGGGGTGAGGGTGAGCGATTGAGGCAGTGATACAGCCAGGTCTGAAGAAGGTGTCATCTGTATCTGTGTAGGGACATGTTTGGGGAAGTAGGAGAAGAAGAGTGGAGAGGAACAAAAATGTCTACAGTTGTGATAGTTGTGTGCATGGTATGCGGGGGTTGGGGGTGGCTGTGGTGGGGGTTCTGCATGTGAACACATAGGAGGACCATGAAGAGTGTATGGGGGAGTATGGAAGGGACAGGGAATGCTAAGGTGGAGAGGAGAAATGATGAGAAATGATGCAGAGAGGAGTGAGGATGAAGATACACAGCCTGTGCTGAGCAGGCTAAGTAAGGTGGGTGGATGGACAGAGTAGGTGGGCTTGTGCACCCATATGAGAACTAGCTCATCAGCCCTCTCTTGCCTCCTCACTTTGCTCCACAGAAGACGTACGATGGGACACTTTCCCCTTAGGCCGAATGCCAGGTCAGACCGAAGACCCATCAGAGCTTATGCTGGAGAATTATGACACCATGTATCTTTTGGACCAGCCTGTGCTAGACCAGCGGCTGGAACCCCCAACATGCAAGACTGGGTGAGTGCCCATGGCAGCAGGATTTCTCACCCCTTTCTCTGCCTCCCACAGGAGGGAGGGAGGAAGGGAAGAACATAGAGTGGGGTGGTTGGGGGAGGTAACTGTCCCCAGTCAGGGCCAAAATGAGTGAAATATAAGCTCCAGTCCCTGGCTGGGCCCTTGCCAGGAGTCCCAGCCCCTAGTGTGGGGGACCAGTGAGGCAGCCACACAGAACTGGCTTGGCATCCCTCTCAGATTGCATCTGGTTTGTGCATGCATGCATGTGTGTGTGTGTTTATGTGTATGTATGTGTGTGTGTGTGTGTGTGTGTGTGTGTATTGGGAAGGGAGAGGTCCATAGCTTTCAACAGATTCTCTAAAGGATCCACCACTCCTAAAAAGTCAAGAACGGGTGCTCTAATTAACTTCTTCATGTTCCTGAGGAGAAAACTGAGGCCCAGAAAGGGGAAGAGATTTGTCCAAAGGTGCACAGAGTAATCAGTAGGCCTCCCTGCACTGTCCAGGCATCTTGGTAGCAAGGCCTATGCAGGGCTCCATGCTGTCCCTCGAAACTCACCTCTGGATCACAGGCGTAGGAGCCCTTGGGTCATCAGGAAGGCAGGAACCAAGCAGCCCTTGCTGAGGGGCTCTGCTGGTAACACAGAGGAGCCCGTTCAGAGGGCCTGTACATTCCAGAATGTGGGGCCATTGTGACTGGGACAATCCTGTGAGTACCAGAGAGAGACCTCTGTGGGCCCCTGAAACAGTCTGTCCCTGTGCTGCCTGCCCACTTCATGGGAGATGAGCCCTTCTTCCTCTAGACATTCAGAGAGAGGGCTATGGAACCCAGGGACCCCAGCAACAGGCCAGGCCCAAGGCAGTGTCATGGACTCTCTGCTGTAAGCCGGGGCAGCAGGCCTCTTGGAGAGAAGAGGAGGCAGTGGGGGAAGCCAGGTTGTCTGTAGTTGCGAGTGGGGCCCACATGTCTGAGAGAGAGACCTCCTCTCCCTTGGGTAGGGCTGTCTTGATGAACATCAAGGTATCAAGGGTGAATTGTGGGCAGGTAGAGCTGTTTTATCCAGAAGGAGGCCCAGTCCCACACCCCCTGTAGTAGGGAGACTTCCTCAGCTGGAGCCAGCGTGCCTGCCCCTGCTCCTTGTCTCAGCTCCACCCCGACTTGGCTGTGTGGCCTTGAGCAAGTCCTTTTTCATCTCTGAGCCTCAGTTCCCTTGTCTGTGAGATGGTGAGTGATGGGAGGGGATGGGGCTAGATCATCTCTAAGGGTTTTTTCAGCTGCATTAGTGTAACCGTGGATCTCCCTGAGAGGAAAGATGATGGCTTTGCTCTCAGCTGTCACCCTCATCTACCTGGAAGAACTTTTGACCTGCAGGAAGCAGGGGAAGCAAGAGTGTTCCGAGCAGGGCCAGGGAAGAGGAGGGCAGTCTTCTCCCTAGGTCAGTTCTGCAATCCTGAGATGGGAGCTGGGCCTAGCCCTGCAGCCTAAGCCTGGCCTTGGGCCCCTTAACCTGCTGTTGGGGTGGGAGGGATCCAGCCCAGGGTCCTCTGGGCCCCCAAGATCTAGGGCCTTAGAAGAAAGCCTATTAAGGCAGCCACTTTTAATGCCTTCCTGGGGGTAGGGTGGTACGGGTCTTCCTTTCCTACCTCAACCCAATTAGCTCTGCTTTAATCTGGTTTATGTACTGGGGTTCTATATAAAGTTTCATTTGAAAAATTCCACTCCTTTTCTCCCTCCTCCCTCAACTGAGGGCAGGGCAGAGCCACCCCTGGGGCCCATCTTGAAGTGGTTTCTCAGATGTGTTCCAGTCTCTTTGTAAAGCCAGGCAAGAGGGTGGGCCCTTCCCATAGACACACACATCAAGCACCCTTAGCCCCTCTAGAGCCTAAAGCTGCCTCCTTCCCTGACTGACCTCCCCTCTCCCCTCTCTTTGCAGCACCCTGGGCCTGAGCTGCAGCATTGGCAGTGGCAACTGCAGCAACGGCAGCAATGACAGTGGCAACTTGGACGGCCTTCTCTGGAGCCAGGGCCAGCTGCATGGGCTCAAAAGTGGCCTACAGCTCTTCTGATGCCAGCCCTGGTGCAGGTGTTCATCCAGTGCTACTGGGGCAACAGCCCACTCTCCCCCACTCTGCCAGTGCACCTAATGCTCCATAAAACAAGCTGGGAGACAGCCTGCATCAGCCATATCAGCTCAGCTTTCAAAATCACAGTAGGATTCAAAATCACAGTAGGATTTTGAATATGTTTTATTTTGTTTTGCTTTGTTTCATTTTGTTTTTTGTTTTGAAAAACAATAAACAGGCAACTGTTTTGGTGTTTGTGAGATGAGGGATTGTGTGCTTCTTCCTTTATTCTGGGGGCTCCGGAAAAGGTGGGATCATAACAGAGCAGGACTGGGTCCACTGCCCCTTTTTTGCCTTTTTTTCTGACTCAAACCATTTTCACTCCCCTCATTGGAATGTAGTGTGAGGCCAGCTCACTAGGAAGCATCAGGCCCCAGAAGAGGCATTGTTGGCCATAAAGCCCAGCCAGCATCAGGGGAATCTGCTCAGAACCTCCCTGACAGCTGGAAGACCCAGGTCTTCCTGTTGCTATTCAGCAGGCTTCTGACTCATTTACCTGCCTGCCCTCACTGGGCACCAAACAGCAGTTGAAAGTCAAAGAGAAACCTTTCTTTGTCACCTTTTTGCCTAGAAAAGATGAAGTAGACTTCCCTGTGGTATGCACTGGAACAGAGAAATGTCTAAGGGACTGAACCAGAGTTCTTCTATGGTCACCCAACTCCTTCAGACACTCAGAGTGCCTTACTTACCCTGTCAGCCCTGAGCTGCCAAGAGACAGGGATGAATAAAATATGTCTCACCGGTCAGAGCCCTCTGCTGGGTGAAAAAGGACAAAGTCCACCAATTATGGTAACCTGATGCCTTTGTTAAGTGTCTTAAGAAAGCCCCAGTGTACACAAGTTGTTTGTTTTTCTCAGGATGATATTTCCAGGGTGGTGGTTGACTGAGGTTAAGATTGGCTACAGTATCTCCCACCCCAACTTGGGGAAGTGATAACTGGGTGAGAGAGTGGGCATCTGTGGGGCCCGTTTGGGCCCAGATAAGGTGAAACAAGGGACAGAACCAGGCCACATTCCAGCCAAGAAGCTGGCTCTAGAAGCGGCTGAGCCAAGGAATGGTGAAAGGAAGGAGAGGGCATATGCTATAAAATGCCAAGGAGGAATTGAGTGTAAGTGTCCTGCCAGAGCCCAGTCAAGGGTTTAAACTAGTTAAGACTCTAAGGAGTCCCCAACACCTCTTAAAAGATATCCTGAATATCTTTGTGGGTATGTGTATGTAATCATTTTTCTAGAGCTAGTTCACAGGTTTAATCAGATTATCAAAGTGGTCCATGAGCCCAACAGCTGAAAAGGTTACAATTTCCTATCCTGTGTGGACCCAAGCACCAGGCATGGGCCAAGCAGTCTCCTGCACAGGTTAATGCAAAGTCAGTTTCCCTCCAACTCTTCCCTCTCCTGCCAAATGCTAAGTCTTAGCATCCAGGAATGTCAGATCTAACGGAGCCCTCAAGGAGGATCTAGGCCACATCTAAAGGGATTTGCAAATGTGTATTCTGGGACATAGCCTCAGCATCTGCCCTGTGGGGAGATAGGTGCTGCAAGCTCTTGGTTCTGTCCAGCACTTCTCTAAAGCAGCCTGGATTTTTATCTATTGTGTATGTATTGGTATTGTATATAAGATTTTTTTTTCAAAGTGGACTTTGCTGCCAAAAAAATAGTTTAGAAATCATAGTTCTAGTCTAGCCCCCTCATTTTATACATTGAGACACTAAGGCAGAGTAAAAGGGAAGGGATTTGCCTAAGGACACAGAACAAGTTAACAGCTTGGTGTAGAACGAGTTTCTTGTAATATCAGCATCACCTGGGTACTTGTTAGACATGCAAATTATTGAACCCCACTCCTGGCCTGGATCAGAAATGTTGAGGGCGGCCAGCAATCTGGTTTAACAAGCCCTTCACATGATTCTGATGCACACTAAAGTTTGAGATGCTCTGGTATAGAGGAAAAAGCTACCCAAAGACCTAGATTCCAGGCAAGCTCCACCACTTAATGAGAACAGCCTTGGGTAAATCATGTCACAGTTTCTTGATCTGTAGAAGGAGGATATTTGCCTCATGGGCTTGTAAGGATCAAATAAGATAATAGATGTGCAATTGCTTTCTAAAGCTTTTCATGCTTTGTATGTGTGAGTGGTGTGGATTCATGCCAGGGTTCACAGGCCTTGAACTCAGGACTTGGGTCTCCATATAACCTAGGACAAAGACCTCTCCCCTGGCCCTCAAAAACTGACCTAAAGATGAGAAGTAGGCTATCAGAGCCATTTTTAGTCCAGGTCCAGGGAGAGTAAGAACCAAGCATTATTGTTGGCTGGAGTCCTCCTGAAACCTGGGATTTGTGAAGCCAGGTCCCTGGGAAGGGCTGCTTTAGATGGCGGGGGCTGGGGGTAGGAAGTGAGGGAGGGGGCATAGGGGAGGACAGGCCAGGAAGCAACCTTAGCCCAGTGCCCTTGCACCTTTTCCTTCTGACTAGAGGCCAGAGACTGATTAGAAAGTCTTTGAACTGCACACATTTAACCGAGGAGCAGGGTTCAGGGTCAAGGGAAGGGAGCACTGATTATATTGCTAGTCAACAACAATAATGAGAGTCACCTGATAAATGGAATATAAGTGGAATGGAATATTTATAAATGGAATATTTCCTGCCTTATCAATAAACAAAGGATGTCACAGTCATCAACGATTGCAGCCCTCCAACATGAGCTGGTGAGCCCTGAGGAAACTCAGGGCTGAAAAGAATACCTGACATCTAGCAGCCATCAGACTGCAGCCACTCCCTGCGGTGAGCCCTGAGGAAACTCAGGATGTGAAAATACAGGATACTGGCCCCAGATGGTTGAGGTGCATATCAAAGGAATGATTTCAGTAAGCCCAGACTCTTGCATCTTCCCATACACAGAAAAGCGCTAAATTCCTTAATTTGAGCTATCTGGTTTTCTTTAATTAACAGTAATCTTTTGATGTTCCTGACTACCTGCCCTTTGTTGCAAACTCCCCTATATCCCGGCTCCTCCCCTTGCCTCCTCGGAGCAGTTTCTCAGAGCTATCTGAAAGGCTGTCTCCCCAGGCTTCAGTCCTCATTTTGCCCCAGATAAAACTTAACTTGCAACTCTCAGGTTGTGTATTTTTTTAAGTCAACACACCCCTTCTGATAGGAGTTAATTTCATTAGTAATGAAGAATATGGTTCCTGCCCCTAAGGAGTTTCATGTTTTGTATGGGATCTGCATGCCAACATGATTGTAACAGAGTGGCAAGTGCTAAAATAGACGTATTGTTCAAGATGCCTGCAAGGCCCCCGGGGGAAAGGACTAACAATGTCTGGACAAGGAGGTGGGACAGCTTAATAAGGAGGTGACTTTACTAGTCAAAACAGTAGAAGGAAGGTAAAAGTCTGGAGGGTTATAAGAAAGACCATGGCATATTGGGGCACCAGTGAGGGGTCCAGAATAATTGGAATATGGGTTAAGCGAAGAACAAGGGAGGTCCTGAGGCCAGAGAGGTTAAGCTAGAGAGGGATATTGTCAGACTAACTGATTTTCTGCCTGTGATTAGGGAGAAGCATTGGACATTGAATTGTCCCTTCTTAGAATTCTAATTATTCTTATCACTTCCCCTAACCTCACACTGTCACTGCCCTCTAAGAAAGGGAATTCATTTATTTTCTAAGCATGTTTCATTCCCTCACTGCAGTGCAAGTTCCAGAAGACAGGAACTGTTTCCTCCTCTTCAGCCTCTCCCTAGTCCAGTATAGGCCAAGCTCCTATTTGGTACTCAGTAAGAATTTGTTGTATGTATGTCTGAGAAATGTGAGAGGAGACAGCAGGAGTAAACAGACAGAAGAGGAAAAGGACGGGGAGAGATGAGCACACTTAGTCCCAAGAAGGATGATAAAAGAAAAAAAGATTCACGAATACTAGCCCCTTCTGAAGTCTCCTAGCCTGAGGTCCCCTGCAGCCACTGTGTCCACCTCTGCCTTTAGAATGAGACTGGCCTGTTGTGTCGGGGAGGGGAGGAGGAGTGCAGGGGTAAGGATGAGGCTTCAGAGAGACCTAAGGGAAGAGCAGACACCACTGTGATAAAGGGCTCACTGGCCTGAGAGCAATGAGGCCTGGGGTTCCAGTCCTGGCTTTGCCATCAACTCCCTGTTAAGCCTTGGTTGAATCTCTTCAGTTCTTGGAGCCTCAGTTCTCATACCTATAACTTGATTGAGTCCATGCAACTGAGCACTCCCCATGTGACTTCTCTGTGAACTGTAGGGTGCCAGGCTGCTTCTAGCTCTGATATTCTGGCTATGGCTCGGCAGATGATGTCTCTGTGGACCTGAGGCTATTCAGGGGGGAAACAGTAGGCTTTTACAGAAATAAGCCTGAGCCCTGAGCCCTCCACCAGTTTCTGACCCACCAGTGAAGGCCTGGTCCAGCCCACCCCTACGGGAAACACCGATTGATTAGCACTTATAGATGTGTTAGTATACAAAAATTAGAGGGCATATGTTTACTGTGATGAAATTCAGATGAACTCATTTGGGGAGATCCCTCCCATTATAGCTTATCTCAAGATGCAAATCCCAAGGACAGAAGTCTAATTTTTTAGGAGCTGAGTGTGTGTATTTATATGTGTGGTATGGCTTTGTTGGTGATATTCTTAAAGAAACAGAGCCCTTAGTGGTTAGTAAACAAAACATTTATGCAGTAATTAAGTGTGGTTACAGTTCATTGTTGTCAATGACAGCATTTTCCATCATGATGATAGGTGAAACAAATTAAAACCTCTTGAAGTAGTCGTAGCACATTCATGCTAGTGAGAACATATTGCAAAGCATTGCACATGCATTAGAGGCGCAGACAAAACTGGGGACACGATATATTTTCACTCACCTCAGGTTAGCTTTGTGTATTTTGTCGTTGAGACTTACATAATGTTTGGGTCAAACAAAAAACCCAAAGAGATTTTATAAAAGTTTATAGCCATTATACAGTATCATTTAACCCCACAAATGGATAAAGCAAACTACTATAGCTCAGTGATACACAAACCAGGACTAAAATTAATCAATCTGCCTATGTATATAGCTAGCTACACTATGATAGATATGGAATATGCTGAGTCTTTTGGCATCAGCTATTTAGATAAGCAGGTTCCCAAAATATACTAGTTTGGTTTCCAATGAGAACTAAGTGTAGTGCCTTTTCAGTTGAAGATTATGCACACCTCAGTGTCAGACCTGAGGAGAAGCAAACTAGGGGAAGGCAGAGAAGGGTTGGGAGGACACCTGAGCAGGGCTCTTTGGACAGCTTGACATTACTTTCCCTGTGCAGTTCCAGACCTAGTTCACAGAGTTAAAGTGTATTGAAATTGTTGGCCCTCAAAAAGGGTGTTTATACAAAGTCCCATACTTAAAGCATAGATAGAACAGTAACTGAGCGCCTCTCAAAATGAACTCTTCTATATTAGAAAAAAACCCAGTGCCAAAGGTTAATGGATATCAGTGTTTGAATTACTGTATAAAGATAATTTATTCTAAAATAGAAAAAATGGATTTAGAAGTATTCTCCTGGAAACTAGCAGAAAGAGAGAGAGAAAGGATATATAGATGATATAGATATAGATATAGATATATAGATGTATATTTCATTACATAGAAGAAAAGTTTTATATACCATTTCCATAAAGCATCTGTCATCCTCCCATTTCTTGCACCTTAAGAGAGAGTGCAATGGCTATATGTTACCTTTGAAAAAGCTCACTTTCCTTTGAGTTGTTTTACAGAAATGGTGCCCTGGATTGACCATGCCACTCCAGAGTCACACTTCTTCAGATAAAAATAAAAATAACAACAACAAAATCACAAAAAGAAAAAAAATTCACAAAATCTACAAGATATAAGGCCTGAACAAGCACAGACTTGCTATGAGTTCAGAAACTCAGTGAAAGAATTAAAATTACAAAGCACCTCTTGCAAAATATACTTCTTGAAAACCACACAAAACACTGTGCAGTAACCCCTGCTTAGTGCTTGGAGGTAAGTATCCTGAAGGACACACACTTAGCCCTAGGAAGGAAGCTTGATTTTATTATCAAGGGAGCCAAAGGGGTTCCAGGCTTTCTTTGTATTTACTGTTTTATAATTGCAGACAAAATGGAAGTCAAGAAGTGTGCAGACCTCAATGCATTCATAATTGTACAGCTCCATTTATATATATTTTTTAAAATATTTATTTATTTATTTTGGCTACACCGGGTCTTAGTTGCAGCACACAGGATCTTCATTGTGGCATGCGGGATCTTTAGTTGCGGTACATGGACTTCTTAGTTGTGGCATGCAGACTCATTTGTGGCATGCAGACTTCTTAGTTGTGGCATGTGAACTCTTAGTTGTGGCATGCATGTGGGATCTAGTTCCCTGACCAGGGATTGAACCCAGGCTCCCTGCATTGGGAGCGTGGAGTCATACCCCCTGGACCACCAGGGGAGTTCCCAGCTTGATTTGTAGATTCTTGCAGATGAACCACTAACACTGACACTTTTTTACACAAAGTCTCTTTTGCAAGGATATATTAAACTTAACAGGCTAAAGAGAAACTTATGCAATATAATGCTTGAAACTATGCACAGTAGCTGTTGGACATAGTAATAAAGAGGCCTTGAAAAATTGTCTTTGTCTATAAACTGCTGCCCTTTGGAAATAAAAGCTCTCTCATGACCCCTGGGCTACTCCCTTGTGACACACAGTGCCACAAACATCATAGTGAAAAGTCAATACCAAACCTAGTTTAAGATGAGTTTTGTACATTTGCTTCTATACAATCAGGAAAAAAAGAGATACAATTTGTATCAACAGAAGGTCATTTCTGGTTATTTGAGGCATTGCTCCTAGCCGCTTTGATTCATACACATTTTATGAGAAGAATGACAATTGTTTTTGGAAATAAGAAATACATACGCTGCCCTAAAAATATTTCCTGTATTGGGAGGAGCTTACAATTTTTTTGAGTACTAAACATGAATATGTTCCAGATGAATTGCAGCTGACAAGATTAATCTTGTGCTTCCCTGTACGTTGTGCAGCTAGTGGATACAGTGGTGTCATTGATGGTTTTGGTAGGAAGATGAACTAACTGGCACAAAGGCAGTAGAGTCATCTAAGATTGTCAAATACCCTGATTTAGACATGGGACAGATTTAGAAGGTCCAAGAAGCTGAAGGTATAAAATGGTGTTTGTGTGAAATAGCAAGCACGTCACTCTCTATGGACCTACCTGACAGAAAATAATTTTACATCTCAGTATGCTGGGGGATAGAAAGATCAGAGGGTAGGAGATGAATGTGAACTGTGGTTAACTGAAGAGAAACACTGAGATGAAGTTTTGATCAACTAGGACAGAGACACAAAGCCAGAAAGCAGCATGCAAGCCATTATCAAACCACCAGAAACAACCCTGACTACAGTCTCACATTCGGAGTGTTTCACAGTAAGAAACATTTATAGGCAGTGTCACACCTTCTCATGAAGAAACAAAAGGCCAAGACCAGGCCTTCTCAACTTTCATGAAAAAACGACCATAGAAATTAGCAAGTTCCAGCTCAAGAAATACTGAGCTGGTCATGGTTCAAAATGTTGCAATATACAATGGATTCAAAAAGGGGTTCATTTAGTGCAGCTGTTAAAAAACCAAAAACAATAAACACCTCTTCTAGAGGCATTTAGCTACAAAGGTTCCCACCCTGAGCAAGATACAAGTTGCGCAAATGGTGCCCTCAACACAAAGTCCTGCCTTCTTTAGTAATGCATTTAAGAATTACCTAAGGTCAAGTGCACACTCTTTGTGTGCATTTGAAGTGTGTAACTGAGCCAGCTATTAGCAAAGATGTAGCATCCCCTTTTGGAAGCTGCCTTTTTTCCACCTAGAAAATCCCCTAATTTTGTTTCCTAAAGAAATTCTGCTCCACCAATGATCAACCTTATTGCCCAAAGGGTGGATGGAAGGACAAAGTGGATTACATGGCTGTGCATTACATTTCATCCTGTAGTGTTGAATACTGCATAGGTCAGAAGTCCAAAGAGCATCCATTAGACCCTCCTTGAATGCAGCTTTTGTGTCCATCATTTAACGCCAAATGAGTTTGGCCATCTCTCCTGGGATTAAGGGAAGCGGATTCTGGTAGGAAATCCCTTGGTCCTGGTTAAACTCTTCTGTGCTTGTCTAGCACACGCATCTACTATGCTTGGAACTTGAGCTTATCCATCAGCTCCTCTGCAGAAGAAGGCTTCAATCTGATCCCTAATTTACTGAGGTGAAGAGACTTAAAAGCTAAGAACTGTCAATAAATGTTGACAAGTAAAAAGTGCAAAGGAAATAGAGCCAGTTTGCTCTGGTGCCTAAGAAAGCAATGTTCAAATATTAGGATGTAGTTTCACTTTCAAAACTAGTTGAAACTATGAAATGTGACATAAAATAAAGTCTGATTTGTGATCTACACAGCTGTAGACTAAGGGCTGTGCAGAGCCTGTCTTTTTATCATCACTATATAAAAGGTTATATAGAGATATACACACACACCTCTCAAACAAATACATACAGTCATACATGCAATATAATTGCTAACAATAAGTTTGAAATATAGCTCTAGAAGCTTCGATGTGACCCTATAGCTCGGTTAATAAAAGTATTGAATGGTCAGATATCCATGCAATAAAGTATGCATTTACTTTTAAATACCTTTAAATATTCCTATTAAAAATCCTAAAAGGTTAATTCAACATATGGATTGATCCTGATGCTCTTGCTCTCTAAAATTAGATATATCATCGATACTTTGTAATATAGAATATGTGACTAAGAAAACAGTTGGTAATGGAATCCCCTGGAGTTTCTTGCATTTGGACCTTTCCCCTGGGTTTTGTCCTCCATTACCTGCATGGTGCAGTGTAAAAGGGCATAGGACTTGGAGTCAGAGGACTTGGGTGTGAGTCTTTACTTGGTCACTTGCTAGCAGTGTGACCTCGGCAAGTCACCTAATCTCACTGAGCTTCAGTTTCCTTGTCTAGAAAGCAAGACATTAGTAAGACTTACCTCACAGGGTTGTTATGCACATCAATGACATAAACACTCTGTAACTTGTAAAGTGTAACACAAAATTATTAGTTACTATTATCATAGTATTAGTGCATTATTGGTATTCATATTTATATTTGTAAAATGAAATAAGTCCTATGTCATGTCAACGTGCAGCCCTAAGCTTAGAAACAATCAAGGCTGCTAGTTGCTGGGCATCTGCTGTGTGGGGATTCTTCTCCATCACTGCAAGGACGATGTTTGAAGGGAAAATATTGCAGAGGTTCTTGTAGGTCTGATACTGGTGCTCTGGGATCATATGCTCCCTGGAATCATTGCACATTCCAACCCAAGGATTCATCCAAAGCTGCTCCATCTTTTCAGGCACGCTCCGTACCATGACTGGCTCATAGCATGGTTGCATGAGGCTGTTACTCAAGGGATAGGAGTGGTAGCCATAGGAGTCAGTTGCACAGGGCAGTGGGTCCCAGCTGGCATGTTGTTCCCGGCACAGAGGAGGGCGTCTTTGCCTCATGGGGTTGCTCTCATACAGACGGGAATCAGAAATGCTGTCCATCCGAGTCATCACCAGGGCACGTCCTGGCTGGGGAGTTGCCCCAGGATGGATATTGGGAGGCATGGGATAGTCCCCAGGACAGCTGGAGTGTGCTCCAGTTGTCGGGTGCTGGGCATGTAGAACTAAGTGGGGGACTGATTGTTTGTTGGGGGCTTGCTTAGAGTCCTCTGGGCCATAGCTCTGCACTCGCGTTAAGGCTTCATGGTAACCATGAGGAAAAGGCTGAAGATGGTTCTGAGATGCTGAGCGATGCAGCTTCAAACTACCTTCAGGATGAGTATCAGCTACAGCCAAATACAGGTTGTTGTAAGAGGAATAGCTGTCGTTCCTGCTATGGCTCATACGATTGTCAGGACAGAGGTTGGGATTCCGGGCGTACAACCCCCGGTCTGTTTCAGCCATGTAGTACTCTCTATTATGCATGCTGTTGATGTTCAATTTGGAGAAGTCACCTAACATTGAATAGTAGCCGTGGTCCCCCAAGGACTCAAACTTTGGGTATTGCTCAGAGTAGCTAATAGGGGTCCCATGGCTATTGGTAACCAGGATCGGGGGGTACTGCATGCTGGTCATGTGCTCCAGTGAGGACTTCTGGTGGGAGAAATGAGAGGATCCTGGCACTGGGCTGCTGGCTGAACGGGTGTTGAGTGCACCCACTGCATGGCTTTTGGCGGGTGGGATTGTGGGGACACTTAGAGCAGTCACAAGTGAGGGGACAGAGCTGGCCTCAGGCTTACGGGCAATGGACAGCCATTCCTCAGGCTCCACAGCCACGGAACGGATGCTGGGATCCGATTGGCGCTTGGGGGCCACACGTTTGACTTCTGAGGTTATGTCACCTTTGGTACTAGACAGCCCTGTGCCACACTTGGCCAGGGTGCCTTCACTCATGGTTTTCACTGTGGACAGTTTGGCACTGATGCGGAGCTCATCAGCCACCGAACGCTGCGGTTGGTTGGCCCGCTCCGGATGGTAGTATTTGCACTTGTGGCCGTAGGTGCATTTTTTGCCTGAAAAATAATGCCTTGTGGTAAGACTCTTTCTCAGAGTAGTGCAACTCTCTGTGCCAGAAGCTGTCGTAACAATCTGGTCACTCAGGTTAGAGTTTTACTGTTTGGGGTTAAGGCAGAAAATTAACTGTTCATAAAGATAGGAGACAGACAACACCACGGTGGCATCACACACTGTGAGGGGAGAGAGAAGTGGAAACCTGGGGAGGAAACTGCAATGCGAAAGCTAAGAGTTGAGCCATTGAACAGCCTTCATTTTCCTGTAATTCACAACTTTGCCTAGGTATAACCCACATGCTGAGGCAGTGTAGGGCAGCAGCAGGCAGGGTGGTTCAGTGCAAAGAGCACCGGCTTGGAGGCCGGTCAGACCTGAGTTTGAATTCCAGCTATGTCACTTACTAGCCCCATGACCTTGGTAAGCGATTTTACTTTCTGTGCCTCATTTTCTTATTCTGTAAACAAGGCTCATAATAATACCTTTATTATAGGGTCATTGTGAGGATTAAATGAAAATAATGAACATGAAATACTCTATGATATGAATAAATGATAGTTGAGAACAAACACCTAGTCATCCTATAAATAAATGACTATCCAAAAATAGTGAACATTCAAAGTAGCCTCAGACCAGGCATCCCATGTCATATTATTAGGCTCACAAATTTGTATCCTAGGGACTTGGGTAAGATCATGAAAGTACTCTAGAAAACTATATTTTAAAAAGGAAATGAAAATAAAGTTTGAAAGCAAACTGGAAAGTACAGATTGGAAGAAAAGGGTATTATTAGTTGACAGAGTGTGCAGTCACCTGCCTGAAAGACATGTCCTTCTTCAGGCCAAACCCAATTTGGCATTGCCCTTTCTGATTCCATAGGCCAAGTGGGTTTCTGCACTTCCCTACACCCAGCAACCCTGCTCAGGACAGAGGCAGCTAGAACACATGCATCATTTTAACTAGTGACAATTATTCTTTCCTTCAATCCTAGTTACCTTTTCCTCATGTAATTTCTAAGATGTTTCTTTAAATGCCTAACTGATAATACATGAAGACACAGACTTTAACTCAGAAAGTGGACAAGCCAGGATTTTCCCTTTGGAAGGGAAACCTTGAAGAGAAAAGTATTCACAGAGTTCTCATGTTTCTCTCAGTACAGAACTTGGTTCTGCACATAGGTACTCACCATAAGGGCATGGTTGCTTCTTGTGTTCAGGGACAACGGGTCTCTTTCTTAAGAAGTTTTCAAGGCTTGGGCCATGGCGTCCTAAAGGATCATCTGGAGGCATAAATCTGAAAGCAAGCAAGCAAGAGGCAAATGTCTTCCATTCTGTCTCCACTATCCCTTATCAGGAGTTCAGACCATCACTACCTCTTGCCTATACTGTTGTCACAGCCTTCTAATGGCCCTTCCTGCCTCAAGTCTATCTTCTGCTAAGCCAGCAGTTCTTCCCTCTGTTTCCACTTTAACACAAAAAAGGAATGATTTTTCCCGTGCATCATTCTTCTGTGGATTATAAGTTCTAGCCATACTGGCATGCCTGCTGGTTCCCCCAACATGCAATCCACTTTCACATCTTTATAGCTTTATTCATGATGTCTTCTTTACCTGAAATGCCCAGCAGCCCTCTTTCCTCTGCAGAAACTTCATCTCAAATGTTATCTCCTCTGTGGGGCTTTTTCCTATCATTTCACATAGACAAAGCAATTTTAAAAAATTCTAACCATAGCACATGTCATGACACATTGTGGGAATCTTTCTCTTCTCCAGTACACTTTGAGCCTCTTAAGGGTGAGTCCTGTTACTCATTCAGCCTTTTATCCCCATGGTGACCAGCATAATGCACTGTACACAGTAAGTGTCCAGCAAATGTTTATTGAAATGAAATGAAATCTATCCCTAGTAGTAACTTGGATTTAGGCTATTCAGAGCCTACAGGAAAGAAACATACTTGTCATTCACAAAAGAATACATCAGCAACCGCTCCTCTATAAACTTCTTCCATTCTGGCTTTTCAATTTGAAGGTCTCGGTAGTTATCATTGGATACAATGATGCCATCAGAATCAAAAGCCAGTTTGACTATGAACCGGTCATCATAGCAAACAACTCTCCTGCCCTGGACCCTTCTGGATGGTGTGAAGACAAGAATCTTTTCCTTCTCCAGTTTACGTAGGATATCTTGATCTGTTGAAATACGGATTATATGCCAGAGGGTAGAAATAACCTTTGGAAATCAACAGCATTATCCCCATATTACAAATACAAAAGTTGGTACTAGATTAATATATTATTTGCCCGTAGAGAGAAAGTGGCCTCTATTCCTGGCTATGGCACCAATTTGGATTGTGACCTTAGGCAAGTTACCTTCCCCTTTGCATTCCAGTTTTCTTTCTGATAAAATGAAGGAAATAGATTCAATGACATCTAAGTTTTTAAAACCTACCATGAACAGTGAGAAATAACACTGATATCCTAGCATTCTTGAGGCTTGTTTTGCCCTTTGGCTGAAGCATCAGCTTTTGGTTGCTGAAGAAACCAGGGCAGTATGCTGAGGATGTGTCTGCCAGAAGGAGAATAAAGCATCCCTCCTAGGGACAACATTTTTGCCTTCTGCCTGAGGGAAAGCCATGACTAAGGAAAAACATTAAGCGGTAGCACGTGAGTACTGACCCCCTTTCCTTTTAGCTTCTTAATTACTGAGGAAAGAAGCCAGGATCCACTCTCAGACTGAGGCTGGGAGCCTGTTCAGCAGCTGGCAGATAGCTCCATGACACAGTTCTGACAGCCATTCACTGAACCTTCTCATTTTGCACAACAGGCAAGAGCTGATACTCAGAGGACTGGGGTATTTATGCTCTCAAATGCTGTAAAGAGCTAGCTTCATATACTACTACAAGTGAATGTAGTGATCCTCCTGCCAATAGGGCCACATCATGACTTTTGTGGACTTTAGGCACTTTTGCCTTCATGGGTCCCTTCTTCCATTAAAGAAATATTAAAAATTATACTTTACAACTGGGTTAGTATAAAAACAAACAATCCAGTTAGGTACATTATTATACATTCATTGTTATATTCAATTTTCCCCTCTGATGTTAAAAAAATAATAAAATTAAAACTTTTACATGGGACCCTAAAAGTATCTATCATAGGCCCTAGGCACTGGGCCTCCTGTGCCTCATGGATAAGTTCACTCTGAATGCCATGGGACTTTTCTCTTTTTCTATTCTACCCCCTAATCTGCAAATCCCACAGTCACTTATCTGGTACAGAATAAGATCCACTGTCTACTATGGTTTCTTTAGTATTTTGGAAAACTCAGATTCATCCCCCTTTAGTCTGAAGTCTGTGGTCAAATAGAAAAAACACTCCTTTTTTTCAACTGTGTGCTTTATTCTTTGCTTGAAATTGAAGTCTTTATTTAACTGCTGTATGCCACAGCAAAATGGTTTATTTGGATCAGGAAAAATATGCTTTAAAATATACTTAATAAAAACATTTTAAGTATACTTAATAAATTTAGAAAAGTAATTATCTAATTTGGGAGCATCAAGCTGTCCCCAAACTATCTTGCCAGCTTTGCCTCTGGATGAGAAGAAATGTCTTATATGAAATGGTACCTGTAATTGGTGCATCAGGGCGGGATTGCTCCTTTCTCCACGCAGGCACAAATACAGTAATGTCTTTATGGCCTTTATCTAGAAACCATTCCACAGCAAGTTGTATTCCTCTGCAGGAGAACTCTTCTTTATTCCCATGGCTTCAGGAAGATAGAGAATGAGAGTAGAGAAGATTGACAACAGGTAGCAAAGAAATACTCCGAACAGGCTTTTTCTTAGCACCAAGGCATTAACGACAGACATATTATTTCTTGAGGATGGCAAAAATGTATTTTTAAAAAAAAACAAATTCTTTTTTATTCCATCATTACAAATATTGCAGTTATTATTACACATTCATTCAAGGCCACACCTCCCAACTTATAGCAGCCTTAGTGACTATTTCCTATCATGATTTCCATTTTCTCTCATCTCTTTCTGTTTCTATTACCACTTTCTTTTCAAAGATTCAGATATTTATCAGATGAAAAAAGAAGAGGTGTCACCAGAGGTTTAAATAAAGTTTATATTGAGGATTAATTGGAGATGAATTTTAATCACATATAGTAAGCTTATAAAACAACTGATAGCAAAAAAGGCACACATAAATGCTGACTGAAAAGTTATCACATTTAATTAAATATGATGTGCCAACAAAAGTCACAGTCTTGAAAATTTTAAGATGTGGGAAATGCTCACAGTGTAATGCTAAAAGAGAAAAGAAAGGATTTGGACTACATGTAATGTAATCTAAATTTTATAGAAGAAAGTATATGTACAGTATTCTTTCCTTATTGTGGCTTCACTGTGTGCAGTTCCACTTACCCACGGTCAACTGCAGTCCAAAAATATTAAATGGAAAACTCCATAAATAAATAATTCATAAGTTTTAAATTGTGTACCATTCTGAGTGATGAAATCTGGTGAAATCCCATTCCATCCCACCCCAGGAGGTGAATCATCCCTTTGTCCAGCATATCCCATCTCTGAGTCACTTAGCAGCATCTCTGTTATCAGGTTGGCTGTTGCAGTATCATAGTGCTTGTGTTCAAGTAACTCTTATTTTACTTAATAATGGCTCCAAAGTGCAAGAGTAGTGGTGCTCGCAATTTGGATATACTGAAGAGGGGCCATAAAATGCTTCCCTTAAGTGAAAAAGTGAAAGTTCTTGACTTAAGGAAAGAAAAAAAATCATATGCTGAGGTTGCTAAGGTCTACTGTAAGAACGAATCCTCTATCCATGAAATTGTGAAGAAAGAAAAAGAAATTCATGCTAGTTTTGCTGTCGCACCTCAAACTGCAAAAGTTAAGATGGAAAAGACACCGAATTTGTACAGTAAGATATTTAAGAGAGAGACACACTCATACAACTTTATTACAATATACTGTTATAATTGTTCTATTTTATTATTAGTTATTGTTGTTAATCTCTTACTGTGCCTAATTCATAAATTAAACTTTATCATAGGTATGTATGTATAGGAAAAAGCAGAGTATATACCAAACAGGGTTTGGTATTATCCCTAGTGTCAGACATCCCCTGGGGTTCTTGGTACGTAACCCCCACCCCCACCCGTGGATAACAGGGGATTACTGTAAAAAGTTGGAAAAACTATTTTAGCAGGGAAGAGCCAATTTTGACTCCATGCTGGATCTGTTTCTTTGACCTTAGCATTTGCTTTTCATTGCTTTTGTTATTATAGCCATACATAACGGCCTGCCTCAGGGAACCCTACCCACCTGTGAATGGCTGCAAGAAAAAAGAAATTAACACATCCCTTCCCATTCCAGGAGATGTTTTTCAAGACTGATGGCCCTTTTTACTTTACTTCCTCCCCACCTCTCCCTCTCTATTCTGACTTTTTACTTTACTTCCCTCTCTGATTCTATAAAAGAAACTGGCAACCAGACCCTAATAAGATGGGTTTTGGGGGGACCCTAGTCTGCCATCTTCTCAGTCTGCTGGCTTTCCGAATACAGTAGCTATTCCTTGTCTCAACACCTCGTCTCCCAATTTATTGGCCTGTTGTGCGGCGAGCAGAGCGATCTTGGACTCGGTAACAAATTTAGCTTAGCCAGCCAGGAGCCTTGCTGCTTGCGGCTAGGCGGCGCCAGTCAGGGAATACTGGGGCTAGGCCCTAGCAGCTGCGGGGACCATTTGTCCTGAGGGTGTTCCCTTCAAAATTCCCTGAAGTGGCACTGGCTACCCCAGCTCTTGGCAGTTGAAGCAAGGAACCGACAAACTTCTATAAATCGACAGACTCGATTTTGGAGAGTAAGTCGCTCTGCCGTGCACATTAGAACATATTTCCCCCTCAATTTGGGCTTTTCCTTTACAGGACAAACCAGTTTGTTTGGTTGGGGTACCCTGTTGGAGAGGGGAATTGTTGGGGAACCGGTTTGGTGGGTTTGGTTTTGGTTTTGTTGATGTTGGAATTTGTGCTTTTTGTGTTGGAATATGTGTCTTTTGTGTTCTGGTGTTATAAAACTTATAAAAATGGGAAATACTCCATCTATCCCAAAGGAGAGCCCTTTGGGGCGTATATTAGATAAATGGGCAAAACATAGCTGTGAGCCTATGACTAAGAAAGATATGATATACTACTATAATAGGGTACAGATCCAATATATGTTAGGAACAGAAGAACAATGGCCCCTGAATGGCTCACTCAATTATTTTATTTTTATTTTTATTTTTTTGCAGTACGCGGGCCTCTCACTGTTGTGGCCTCTCTGGTTGCGGAGCACAGGCTCCGGACGCGCAGGCTCAGTGGCCATGGCTCACGGGCCTAGCCGCTCCGCGGCATGTGGGATCTTCCCGGACCGGGGCACAAACCCGTATCCCCTGCATCGCCAGGCGGACTCTCAACCACTGTGCCACCAAGGAAGCCCTCAATTATTATATGATATCGCAGTTAGAAGTGTTTTGCAAAAGAGCAGGGAAAAGAGATGAGATTCCATATGTAGAAGCATTTATGCTATTGCATCAGGAGGAAAAGGAGTCAGAGGGCTGTCACCTTATGGTGCAGCGGTCTGAAAGAAAACCTAAGGGGGAACCTATTCTACAAGGGGAAGAGGGAGAAAATGAGAGTGGGGATATGTTATTTCAAAACTTAAGCCTCCCTCTAGCCTATCCAGCTCTCCCAGCGGCCGAGCAAGCTGCCCCGGCAGTTGTTCCAACTGCCCTCTGACCCATGCTGCCAACATATTCACCACCTCCTATTTACCTTACCCATGGAGATCAAATAATAGTTTCTATGTTAACCCCTGGAGCACAGGAACCTGGTTTAGTATCACCATCTAAGACCCGACAGAACACCCAATTTGGACCGGGAGCCGTTTCCGCAGCAGGGCAATTTCCCTTGCTCCGATATCCTCTAAGAGGCCCGGGGACTCCCTTGGACTTGAGGTGCCCGATTCTAACTTTCCCACAAGAGCCCCCAGGTAACATTGACAGTGAGGAATAAGTTGATTGACTTTCTAATAGATATGGTGTCACATATTCTGTGGTAAACACCATAGTGGCACAGAAAACATCTCAGTCTATCCTGGTCATGGGAGTTTCTGTAGAAGTACAAAACCATTTGTTCTTACAACCTCTAGAATGCCAGCTAGGGAACCTCACCCTACAAGGCCATGGATCCCAAATGAATATGGATCCCTCCTCCCCCTAGGTACAGGCCCTTTTGGCTATGCATTTCATGGCCCAGTCTGCCCCAGCCATCAGGTGCAAAATTCAGAAAGCAACTGCTGGTCTTCAGACTCCAAAGAACGATTTGCTCCAATTGGCTTATTTGTTTTTCAATAATAGGTATATGGCCAAAAATGCTGAATGCATGGAGAGAAATATGCAAAAGGCCCAAATGATTGCAGTGGTTTTGTCTGCTCAGAGACCACCAACTGTGAGGCTGGCTTTTCCTGGACCACTAGGCCCATGGATACCCAGACAGGACCAATATACCCTGTGTGGACAAAAGGGGCACTGGAAGGAGAGTTGCGATCGATGTGCCCTTTGCAAACAGCCAGGGCATTGGAAGAAGGAATGCCCCAGACATCAGAGAGTGATGGGGGCCCCTCAGCCATTGACGGTTTCACAATCAGAAGACTGAGGGGGCCCGAGGCCAAAAGTGGCTCTGCCTAGAGATACCATCTACATAATAAATGTTGAGACTTGGGTGGTCATTGATGTGGCAGGCCTCCTGATAGAATTTTGCTTATAGATACTGGTGCAACCTTTTCGGTCTTAACCCAAAGTATTGGAAAACTTAGTAACCATAAAGAGTATGTAATGGGGGTGTCAGGGAAAAGGCAGGGGCACACTTTCCTGGAACCCCTTTTGTGCAACATCAATGGCCAGCTGTTTTTACAGTCCTTTCTGTTTGTGCCTGACTGTCCCATCCCTTTAATGGGAAGAGGTTTATTAACTAAGTTAGGGGCCACTATATTTCTTGAGGGGCAAGGGAACCACCCTCACAAATTTCTTAAACCTAGGGAAGATCCTCAAAAATATTTGTACATAGATTACCAAAATAGGAGGCCACTGGTCTGACTAAATTAATCACAGCTGATATTCAGAGCCTGATTGGAATTTTGGAAGAGGCCTTCTCCCCTAAGCTAAATGAGGAAAAGTAAAACTTTCCAACATAGGTAAATGGGTATGTTAGTCCTTCAATATCATTGAGGTAGCCACCCGATTCTTTGAAAAAAGAAAAACAAAACTGTCCTTGTTTTACAAATGTAGTCTTTACAAAACCAGGAGTGTGGCTCCAAAAATAATCCAAAGCCCACCAATCCTTTTACCACTCCCAAACCTTCCCTATTTATCTTAAGAGGCTTGTAAGTATTAAACAAAGGGGAAACAAAGTCATCCTAAGAGAAACTTGCCTGTATCTTTGAGATGCCAATGTGCTATCTGGTCTTCTCAGGAACCCTTATCTCTGCCATCGTTTTAAAATGCAAATTTTGAAAAAGAGGGTAAAGTAATTTAGAACTTGACTTGTTTTCCATAAATATTAGTAAAAAGGGTTTAGCCATCTAGACAAGCGAGCTTGATTTGTTCCATCTGCCAGAAACCCAATTTTAATCCAACCTCTTAAAAGATAGTTTCCTTACCCAGAGAGGGAAAAGAGGAAAGAAAATAGGCAGGCCCAATTATTGGCAG